AGAGAGGGGGAGGCACGTGCACTATCTCCCATATCTCTCGCTGTCTCGTGTCCCCACGAAGAATAATGTGTCATTGTAAAGTTGACAAAAAAAAAGTTTGTGTCATGTTTGGTATTCGGGGAACTCATTGGGATGCAGGTCGCCGTTCCCTCCGACACCCTCTAGAGCCCTGAATTTCCATGAATAAATGCATAAATAAATTTAAAAAATTTTCTCTCTAATTTTAAAGACGGACACACCAGAACGGGATGATGAAGTGATCGCGAACGTAATCCAATATTCCCTTCTCAATAAAAAGCTCGTCCTTCTGCTTGGGCGGTTTCATGAATAACCAATTGGATAACCTGTCGGTATCCCTTTGACGGAATCGCAGTTCATGTACCTTCATGTACCCACAGTCCTTCCTTCGTGTACTTTCTTCCGACTCCATCGATCAGTTTTGACTTGGGGGCGAAATGAATTGTATATATTCTACGAACGAAGCTAATATCATTCTTTAGTGGGTGCGCTTTTATTATTGATGCATTTGAAGCACGGTGCCTTGAAAGATGCGAGATGGGCATCGTCTTCGCTGCGTCGTTGGAGGAAATCACGCGTGCGAATGAAAGTCGCGAAGGGACCTCGAGCTTGGACACTCGCAAAGACCGTTTACAATAAATCTAACTCAACTCAAGGCGTGCTGGGACATCTACGCAACCAATTTTGTTGAAATATTTTGGGAGAAACGTCTAACATTAGCGCTGTAAGAGCCTGAATTTCTTTATGGTGACGCTGAAAGTGAATTTTTGGCAGGTTCGGTGATGGACTACAGGTATCTCGTGCCTCCCGTAGTGACGGCACCATAAAACGCAAGTTCTCGAATTTCTATCAAATTGAGTCGATAGATGCAGGAATAGTTTTCTTCCTGCAAAGACTGCGCCGAACTCCTTAAATCCAGACGTCCATATTAGGACAACTCGTGATAAGATTTTGACCGTGTCGGAAAATCACTGCAAGAATAAAGGTAATCCGGTTGCTAGGTCTCCTTTTGCGGTTTGATCATTTTCTTTGGCGATGATACATGATATTTTTGCGAGGTGACTGAATAAACATTTTAGGTTGCCAGAGATGTTTCAACCTAGGCTGAAAAACGCTGAAGCCCGAAATGATTCAAGGCCAGGTCGTTCACATCTTCACATCCTGAATGTGTTCACATCGAGATTCACGGAATTCAGAGACATACCCTCGTCGAACTCATTCATGATGCATCTCTTTCGCGCCTTAATGTCAAAGTTCACCTTACTGTCCATTGATAGACTGTACAGGTAATTAAGAGTATAATCTAGGCATAACAGGATCACGTACACGCAAGTCCGTCACGGTATTATATAACTATATGACGTGAAAGTTATAAAATTCAGACAAATATAATAGCTACGAAGTGCAAGCTTAACGCAAACTTTCCAGTATTTAAGCTTTTTCCCTCCCTGGTATTCGTAACATGAATTAGTTTTTATAAAGCAGTGTGACCCCTAATGAGAGGCAACGAATACTGATTAAAGTTACAACGCCCCCTCCCTCCCCCACCTCCCCCCCCCCCTCCCCTTCCCTGGCTAATAGGCTGGATTGAAAATAATATAGATGTGCAACATCGATGCTGCGTGACAAAAACTCTGAAAACCAAAAAGTGTACTTTTTCTCGCATTTGTGCACTCTCGGCCTTCTTTTTTAATCAGGAATTCTGCTACCCGAGCTGATATTGAGCACAATACAACTCGCATCCGTTCTCATCGGTGGGAGAATGGAATTGAGGATTTCTAACATCTTGCAGCTCTTAGCTCTTCGTGAAAAAGGAGACTTGAAGAGCTGATTTTGAATGTGAAAGTTTTCACTGCATTTACGAACTCATCATCGAAAGCACCCGTTAATGTCTCCCTTCCACATGGACTAATTTAGTTTACAGTAGTTTAGTATACAATTTAGTCCACAGTCACGCTGGTCACTTCATATCAGGTGCCCCCAGGGGGAAGAGCTGAAGAAATTCGCGTCTCTTACGGTCAAAATAAGCAAAGAGAAATCGAATGCCCAGAGGCTGCAAGGTTTCAAAATCAATATTTGACTCTTCGAAGTTACTTTCTACCTTTCATTACGGCGACCCTGGGGAATTTCATTCCGTGTATGATTGCCCCCACCCCCCCCCCCCAAAAAAAAAAAAACGCTTACTGTTTGACGCTTTATGCAACCGAATGAAAAAAGCTACCTTCGGAATTTTTAGCACAATAGAGACGATACATTTGACGCATTCCAAAATTTCTAGATGAAAAAAAAAATCTTAATGAAAATAAAAGTATCGGTCGTTTGGATGAAAAGCAACTGTCATTCCAAAGTCAGTAAGAAAATAAAAATGTTACACCTATTAGATTGGAAGTTTCAGCACTGCACCTTTCTTTTAACTAATCTTCATCGCGGTGACGTTTTCCTAAAGCAGCTGCGACATGGTGACACCACACGGTCAATAACTCTACAATAAGGATACAGCCATAAAAAAAAGGCATTGGCGACGAGTGAAAAGAATCAGCAGAGTACGACTGCCACATGTATCAAGTACTGAATTTTCTTCCAGAAATTTGAACAACTCTTTCTCGAATAATATAGAGACTTCTAACTTTTAGGGGAAAAACCTTTAGAGCAATATCTCTATGATATAAAAAGAATGACAGACATTTCTACAGTAGGTTTTCGAAGACGTGAAACGGGACGCGTTCTTTGCCCCGCCAGGTATATTTCACTCTCGTTTAAAATATATTTCAAGCCTTCAATGTCAAAAAGAGAATTCGATGCCAATTCAAGAAAAGAAAAGAAAAATTGCAAAGATTCACATTTTCCACAGTTGACATTGGCTTAGCATATATCACGGGACCGTATCTTAATCGTTGTAATCTCGAGGATAGGAGATGAGTTTTCAAGTTTGGTATTTCGTGGATCTTCGAAAAAAGTATGGACATGCTATTAATATCGTGCCTAAATTTTCTATGACTCTTCCGGCTTGAGGCGAAACTGAACTTTCGACGAAAGACGAAAGATATAAAACGGATCGATAGCCTAGAGTGTTAATGGAACGGGACGGGACGATCGATCGACCTCTGGGGGTCATTTTTACCTGGTCCGTGATGAGTAGGAGGAAGAGGGCGTGTGGGGAAAGAAGACTGGAGACAGACGAACCGACGATTCTCACTGACTGGATTGAGAGAAAAGTTAGTCGCCTTTGTGCGGCAGTGGTTGGCGAATGGGCCCGCCTCTCGAGCATCCCTGCCGGGGCCAATGGAGACTTCAACGCCGGGATCCCACGCATGCCCCGCTCATCCTTCCTTTTTTTTAAAGTCCGTTCCGCCGTTTTTCTCATACAGTTTTTATTTCTAAGTTTTCAGCATGAGCGGCTCGTGATATTCAGCGGTAATGTATTTTTAATGGAGGTAGGGTAGGCACGGGCCTACCCTGCCTCCATTGACGATTCACTACTACTGAATATCACGAGTCGCCACTGGTTTTAAGAATGCATTTTCGAGCGCCTCTTCGATACTTTCTTTCGGTACTTTTTCTCACTCCTTCGATACTTTTGCAAGTACCTTTCAAGTACTTTTTTGCAATAACTGTAACGCTTGTCTAATTGCAGGCCAAAAATTGACTCATCTCTCGTTACTCACCCGAAGACTTTCTCTCTCTCTCGCGAGCTTACATAAGCCACCCCTAACGTCGTAATAACTACTTATCGTGCAATAGTTTTGGGAATGGTGGAAATACTTGGCATGCTTCGACTTCGTGAAATGTCAGATATTATAGGTTCGAGCAAAGTGCGGATGACCCGAGAAAACAAAGTTTTCGCTTTCAACTCCCAAGATTTACT